TTGTATCCCTAACCTTAAGTATTATCGCCATTAGCTGTAATATCCATTGCAATTGACTGCCCTAACTCTAATCTTTGTGTCAGGTTATGCGGGTGTTAAAGAGAACGAGCGTGCAGATAATCTTGCCCACAGTGCGGTTGCTATGACTGGTCCAGTACTGGACAGAAGCGATGTTATCAATGCCACTCGCAGCACTTACAGTACCAAGGACCACGCCAAAGGACGTGACTCCTTATCCCTCTCTAGGCTGATGGACATGGGGGTGCAGCCTGAAGCTGCAAGAAATGAATATTTCACTAAGAGGACTAGACGTTTTATTAATCAACACAGAACAGTGCTTTACACATGGAGATATTGAGGAGGAAATCGGAGCACCTTTGGATCTGTCCGGAGTGCTATGATAATAATTCTTAATAATCACTATCCACTAATTACTATAACATTTGTAGGGGGCTGCAGCTCTCCCTCTCAATGTTTTCTTTGCGTCAGCGGCCCTACACGACTGTTACATCCGCAGAGAATAAATGACTATTATGTCTATTTGCTTCCCATTGTATGTATGTCAACTGATCCTGACCTGGTGCCCAGAAAAAATCCACAAGAGAATGTAACCGAAATTATCATTAGTACAAAAGCACAAGTTATATCAATCAAGCTTCTCTCACCATATTAGGGGTGGTGAAAAGAGTGCCTAAGTAAACGGATACTGTAAATGGTCGCAGTTAGCATAATTCATAGTGATTATTTTTGCTGATAATAATATGTCACTCTCGTGAGATCAAAGTGATGTGGTGTTTAATGTTGCCATTACACCAAGCCATTTGAACAGAGTAGTCTTCCGTCCCCATCCTGAATGGGACTTGGCTTAGGGAAAAAAAGAGTGTTAGGGTTTGGTATATACTTGTATGTCCATAAATTTATCTTTTCTATTTCTTACTCCCTCCTATACTGCTTTGAGTATCCAGGAGAAACAGGGTTCTAATTATGGCTCTTCTGGCCACCTGGATACTTGACCGAGTGGCTTCTTCGTCGAATTGTAACAACAGTAGCGGTAGTCACACGAATTATCTTTTAGAGGAAAACGATCAGTGCCACAGTTATACATAGTGACACTGATCTTTTTCTTCAGCATTCCAAGCCCTCGAGGTTCATTGCTGCAGATATCACCCCTCATCTGTTTCTGGTTGTCCTTCTCTCTCCAGTTGGTGACACCAAATGTTTGCTGGTCTGTCTGGACGTTATTTCTCTATCGTCTTCTTGGTCTGCCTCAGGTCTACGACCATTCAACTCCCTGGTGTAAGCCGCTTTTACTTCTCTGTCATTAGACATGCTCTCAGTATGCATAAGCAATTTCAGTCTATTAGATCACCCGATGAAAGTGATCAAAGATGATTTAAACAGAATATGAATTTTCTTGTTGATTCTCACACTCTATTTCCCACAGTCGACATCTTTTAAAGGTCCGAAAATTCGTCGTAATACTATATTTTCGAAAATGATGACAGAAACTGTTAACCGAGAAAGCATAAAACATGATTTTAAAGTTTGAATTTCTTATTTTTTTTCTAAAGATATTTTAATAACGCTTCCTCAGCTGTTTTCCTGAAAACATTTTTTTTAGACTTTTTTTTTGCGAATTAGTTGGTTATTTAGCAGTACAGTAGTAAGTTTTACTTTAAGCTTTTCAAAAAATACAAACCGCTTTAGCATGTAATAAACAAATAACAATTTTTTAGTCCTAATAATTTGCAAATGTTCTCCTAAAAATTTGTAGTTTTCTTCATTTCAAGAGGATATACAATTAGCTAGACAGTTTTAATTGTGTAGTAATCTCAATACTTGTTTGTTCAATAATTAAATTATTCCGAATGCGAGATGTACTAATTATCTAAATTATTTTTGTATTTAAATTATTCTTAATGGCTTTTTAAATTAGTTTTAATTGGTTCTTAAATGTTAACGGTCTCAATGATTATAATATTATAAAAATAATTATCGGCTTTACTGCATTTTTTTTAAAAATATTCATGTTTTCTGCAATTGAATCAAGACAATTAATTATATTTCGTTTTATTAGTATGTTCCATGTTATCAAGTTCCTTTATATGATGATTTCTATAATTAGATTAACTTCAATAGGTTCTGTAGTTTTCGACGTTTTAATACGTGTTTGGCTAATCCGTTTATTAGATAAGCAGCTATCTGATTGTGATTTGTTGTATAATTGTCTTTTTTTTTGGTTATGAATTTAAATTAATCCTAAGGGGTTTGTATATTTCTGTTCTTTAAACATATTAATATCAGTTTCTGAGCCTATAAGCCTATATTGAACTGGTCACCATAAAAGCAGCATAGCCCGGTTAACAGTGGACAAGAATTTAAAAACATGAGGACGATGGAGTAGGCGGATCGAATTTTGGATGGGACTTGGCGAAGGAAAAAGTTAATACTGCAAAACATAAATAAATAAATGTATAAATCACTCAAAATAATAACAATAAGTGCGATAGTAAGACTTATAACTATAATAATAATTAGATTGATAAATGATTACCAGATGGGTGGGATGATAATAATATAGAGAGAAATATACAGAGAAATAATATGACCTAACCGTGCGTGGACAAACGGTTTTATTGCAGACAGGGTGACACTACGAAGAACACAAAAATGGAGGAAGGAGGGGAAAAAGGGTGTGGGGGGGATGTGAAGGGAGCTTTAGCCCCTCAGATATTCTAGGAGTTTTAGTGACGTAAGCCTTGTTTAAGTACGCAATGACAATAATAATAATGTACTGTATTGTAATTACTAAATATATAAACATTATAATGAAATGTATAAACAAATATAAAAGAGATAACTTTTACACACAGTTGATGGGCAATGGCTCTTAGCCCCTAAACACCCCCCCCCCGGGATTGGGGGGGGGGGGAGGAGGGGGAAGAGGGCAAGGTACTTGAGACACCAAATTCAGACACAACTGAAAGAGCCGTAACTGCAAGAATAATCTACTCGTAGTAGCAGCAGTGGTAGCTGTTTGACAGAATAGTATCAGTTGTGGTTGGCCTGGTGGTTACAACGTCGGGCTGTCATGCCGGAGATCCGGATTCGACCCCCCCCCTTCCCCGTTAAGGGGATGGAGTTTTTCTGTCGGGACACAATTAAACATACAAACCTGAACAGTCCGTATCGACAGCACTATCCTCTGGCGAAAACCTCAGGCTCACGACCGCCTGTCTACACCGACCTAAAAAAGATGGGAAAACAGACAGTAGTGACATTTGTTTTTTTTTTTTTAATAGTTTTTTTTTTTTAATTGTTGCGGTGGTGGTAATAGTCCCCAGCCATTTCAACTATTAGCTCTCATTATGCCACTGATCCATGGTGATTTAAACAGATTATGAATTTCGTTTTCCCCGCTGTTTACATCTTTGATAGTTCCAAAGATTCTTCGTAATACTCTGTTTTCGAAAACCTGTAATAAGGCTTCGTCTCTTTTAGTTGTGCTCTAATTCCATGAAGCACGCTTCCTCATAATATATTAACTCTTTCAGTCCCACGAAGTCCTGGCTAGTGTCCAAGGGAATTATGAATAGGAAAACTAAATACATGGGTAATAATATTTCCTAGAAGGGCCAAATATACAGTCCTTGAAGGAAACAACTATGTTTAAAGAGTTCGTCCTAGTCCCTCACTAAACATCATCATCATTTAGCAGATCCTTTGTAGAACGTCGAACCCATCACGGTCTGCGTAAAGGAAACTCGGTATCTCGTCAGCTTTCCCGCCTCGTTTACTTTCATATTCAAGGAGTCACTTATATCCTGTGCTCATCTTTGTGTTGGTCGGCCACTGTCCCTCCTTCCTGGTACCTTCTGCTATTATTTTTCTCCTTCCACCATCTGTTAATCTGGTAATCAGGTAATCTTTTAGTTTCAGCTTCATAGCAAACGGGTCACCCCATAGGTGCTCCGCTCCTGTGCCAACGAAAAAAACAAAGAATGTTTATCACAGTCCGTTGTGGAAAGGTTGACAGACTGCTGTCTCAGCATATGCACTAGCATTTACACGCATTAAAAGCATACGGTAGCCGTCCGAAGTGCTAACACAAACAGTCCGACATTAGAAATGCAGTTCCTCATGGATGGTAGCAGAAGTCACCAACAGATCAGCATTTACACACGGGATCATTTTTAATTACATAATGGCACCACCAATAGTGCGACAACAGGTATCAAACCTTTTTCTGAATCTACAATTCACACCATCACGTTGGTCACAGTCGAAAAACATTCCAAATGAAATCCACAGCTCACTGTGTCGCGCCATGCACTACACTCAGAAGCTGAGCGACGAAACTATATCCTTTCAGTCTACAAAAAATTTTGCCACGGCTCTAAACAGTTACCGTACCTAGCGTCCATTTTTACCGCCATTGCGCTTGATATGACCAATATATTTCAGCTTCCGAGATAAGATACTGTTTATTAGCCAATTATCCTTGATGTTCAGGTCCGTTTAAAACTTCAGCATTTCTTCGCATCTTTGTCTATAGAATTCCAGGAATCTTTCTATAACATTTAAGCTCAAAAGCCCCTAATTTCCTTCTTAAGGATTTTCCATAATGGGTTTCTTGGGATAATAATGCTGTAGTTACCCCTTGTTTTCCACATCCACATGGCTTCAGACACTAAACATAAGACGCAGAAACATAAATAACATGACAATTGGTACGCGTGAAAAACACAAAACGTTGAATTAAGAATCGACATCACATCACTCGGGACACACCTATAAGCTCCCCATCTTCAGCAGCAAGCAAAGAGTTCCAATTCCGATGGCACCAGTAACTATCTGATTGTATATCCGTCTCGCCTTTCCCCTGAGTGTTGAGCGCCGGCTAGATCCCCATGTAACTCCTCGCAGCGCCATTCTTCGCGTGGTGCGTTGTTCAGGACAGGCCTAGTGAATGATTACTGTTGTCTCTGTGTGTGTTTCAGGTGTTATCGACAGCAATGGAAATCCGACATTGGATGAAGCCAAGAAGATCATGGCCATGTTCAGCCAGTACAATATGTCCTTCTCTGTGGCCAGGTTAAAGGACTATAGTCCAGACGATGCTTACAGCTTCAAGAAAGGTAAGAATAAATTCCTCGTTTCGATAAGTGTTAAAATCTGTATTTTAGGTAAACATACAGGTGTTATTCAGAAGGAGATATACACATATAGGGGTTAGCAGATGGACATATACACATATAGGTGTAACGCAGATGGAGATATAAACATATAGGTGTTAGCAGATAGAGATATACACATATAGGTGTTAGGCAGATGGAGATATAAACATATATGTGTTAGGCAGATTAAGATATAAACATATAGGTGTTAGGCAGATTAGGATATAAACATATAGGTGTTAGACAGATAAAGATATAAACATATATGTGTTAGGCAGCTGGAGATATAAACATACATGTGTTAAGCAGATCGTAAGATGGAAAGAATCATCGTCCTTCACCCCAGGTGATAAAGAACTTGATCATGATACAAGCCAGATTAATGAAAATGTCATGAAAACAGATAATATCCCTTTGGGAGTGTAAGTATAATAGTACAATTAGTAAAGATCTCTTTTCACGCTTTGAAGCGCCCTGCATATTTACTGATTAACGTAAGTAAATGTCATTTTTACACGCATTGAGACGTAATGGATACATTGTGCTAACCCCACACGTGTACAGACAGACCAGTAGTCACAGCGTGGTCATAATCACGAAGGTTGCCTTCCATAGTTCCCGGTACCCATATTAGATTTCCCTGTGTGGGTTCCTGGTATCCATATCAGGTTTTCCCATGTGGGTTCCAGGGCTCCCATTGTGGGAAAAACAAGAAGAGACCTACTGCCTTCCCAAAAGCATGTCGCAGGAGTTGTAAAATTGGGGACTTTCTACGAAGTTATCTGAGTGCATCTGCCCTAGCAGCAAGAAACAACTAGCTGTACACAAATAACCCTGTAAAACGGATGCACACTCAAAACCCAGGCCCTGGCCCAAAACCAAAGTCTAAATGGATGAACAACCAGGACTTTCTACCGGAACTTACAGCCAGTGAACAAAGAAGAAGATATTAGGTTGGCTCTCCTTGTTTGTCCATGGCTATTCAAAATATCCTCGATTGACCAGGACTGCAGATTATCATCGATATTAATGTTAGGTTGTGATAGATCAAATAATAATACAAAATCTACGCGACGAACGCTTCGTAATGCCGGAATGCCGGGTTCGATCCCAGCTGCGGACCATGCGCCTTGCGTTGGTTTCGACAGTGGTATCAGGGTGCCGACCGTCCAGAGGGCAAAAGCAAACTACAGGACGTAAATTTGCCTAGAGAAACTACACAACAGCCAGGGGCTGCTGGGGTTGGTTTTGCAACGTCCTGTAAAGGATACGCAAGTAACCAATCTACGCGATAGTACTCCGGATAAACCAACTAGATAGAGATAGAGCTTCGATTAGAGCGAAGATAGAGCTTCGAAACCGTGTGTGGCGACACATTAGTGTGCCTGCTGCAGTGTGAAGGTATGTCCCACTAACGTAAAGTTTTATGTATATACCTCTATCTCTTATAAGGGATAACCTTTGGTTTGCAAGTAAATCGAATTACTGTGTTGCGAAATTATATTCGTCTAAAACACATGTCACCAATATAAACATTTAGAAAGCTCTGCCACAAGTCTTCCATCTTCTTCATCATGCGTCGCAACATTCAGAAACCATGAGTTCCTAACCCTTTTGCTCGGTATTATGAATATCGCAATCCTTCGGCCTTGATTCCATGATAGGTACCGCAAATCTGGGAGAAATGTGGCTCTTCTGCCTACCCCCGGGCGTGAACCCTGACCACAAGGAGTTCGTCATCCAGTCACCTCGCAGTCTGGTTTAGCCAACTGCGCTAGAGAGCCGGGCATCGCAACATGTAGAGAATACGGATAGTATCCTCCCCAATGTGCTCCTCCGCCCGAAGCCGTTAGCACAATACGAGATGTCAGGCTTGGTATGCGCCCGCCCAACATTCGGCGTTAACAGAAGACAGGTGATACCAGGCTACTGTTATACTGTAGCTCAGTCATATCTGACCAAGACCTGACATTAGAATATCACTTGATAACAACAACCAAAATAATACCAGTATTGTACAATCCATCTGGGCACATGGATAACATCAGATGGAAGATGCATAACTGAAATAAGAAACAGATTTGGACAGGCAAAAACTGCATTTTATAAAATGAAAAACATCTTGTGCATTATATCCTTGTCATTGAGAGTTAGAAAAAGAATTCTTGCTTGCTACATTCATCCAGTTTTAACAAATGGCTGTGAATCCTGGACAATCGGTAGGCAGGCCAAACAATTTTTAGAAGCCTCAGAGATGTGGTTTTACAGAAGAATGCTTAGAATACCTTGGACAGCAAAAAAGAGCAACCAAGAGGTTTTGAAAGAGGCGGGAGCCCGAAGACAACTTATCACAGACATCAGAAGGAGACAGTCATCATTTTTCGGCCATGTTATGAGAAGAGGGAAAATAGAACATGTTGTGACCACTGGAAAGATCTGTGGAAGGAGGGATAGAGGAAGACAACGAGAGAAGATGCTTGACAGTCTTGTTGCATGGCATGGAGGTGTGTCGGCACACGAACTGATACATGCTGCATGAGATCGCAGATTATGGAGAGGCATGAACGCCCACGCCAGACGGCAAGGCACCTGATGATGATGATGATGATGATTGTACAATGTAATAGACAGACACATGCATTGTCTGTTGCTTATAATAAAGAATGATTTAATTTAATCATCATGTTATTGCGTGACCATATATTTTTACTAATCAGAACGTGAACAATTTGGAGAAACAAATGGATCACCCAAGTCTGGTGAGAGTGATGCAGTGGGGAATGCTGATACTCAACGCTGAAAAGAATGTCAAGACGGACGTATAACCATAATGCTGCTGGCACCTTTGGTTCTAGAAGTCTGTCCTGGTTGCTGAAGATGGGGACGGAGCGCTATTAAATAAAATGTAGACTGATGTAAAACCAGAAAAATAGTCCAGGATAAAAAAATACGCAGTTCACCATTTACGCTTCTATGTTCAACAAAGCAACAGGATAACACAAAATGCATCTAAATACACATAAACGCACGCGGCAAGGTGTTTAATCGTATCTCGGTGGGTAACTTTGATCTGAGAATGGCTAATGTGTATTGCCATGTGATCCCCTAAAAAAATGTCCTGAAATATGTATGAGGAAAGTCTAAAACGTGTTTTTTCGCCCATAGCAGTGAGGGCCAAGAAAGTGAACGGCTAAAGTCGTGCGTAGCAGTCTGCGGGCTAACGGAGAAATACGTCCGCAGCAACGAAAGGGCTAGAAAGAGCCAATTGCATGTGCAAAGCAGTGGGCATGATGCTGACTACATTACCCACCCAGTGCCATTTGGTCTATGAACGTAAGTGTCTAGCATAATTTGGTCGATTCGCCATTAGCAAGAAACAGATCCTTTGCTTTTATATATTAAAAAAAAAAAAAAAAATAGAAGTTGGGTGAGACGTTTACTTCCTTGCACAAGACTTTTTCCAATTTAGCTCGACCCCTCTCAGGATAACGTGTAGTCGCCTGTGGAGGTACTCTCAGGACGCACAAACGCCGTAGCTCCGGCAACGATCCTCAGGAATCTGTGTAAAAAATTGCACCTGTGAACCGAACGACGCAACTCCGATACGAACTCACTACCTTTTCAATACAAGTCAAACGGCGTAACCTCCTCACCTTGGCCTTTAGTTACCAGTTATAATGTTTTACCGGCCGAAAGATTTACGCAGCGTTCTCCATTTACGGCGCAATACATCAACGCACTGGTTTTGATTCTCTGAATTCTAGTGCTAATTCTCAAGGGTGTGCCTGAATAAGAACAAAAACGACAGTGAATGCACCCGTAATTGTTTGTTCTAGGAAACGCCTCTGATCAACAATAAACCTGCCCCTTGCGCGCTGAACGTCGCATCTGTTTAAACAATAAACACAATCAATACCCAGGGCCAAGGTTATGGTTATTGTCATAGGTAATATTAATCGCTTTCAGTACCAGAAATTTTTGTTTCAATTCATCCTGCCCGAAAACATCATTATCATTATCATCATCATCATCGTCATCATCATCATCACCATCATCACCATGATGTGTGGTTATAGCCAACCTATGGCTCACAGTCTAGTCTCCCATTGCATTTTATCCCGTGCAGTGCTTTCCAAAATCGTAGATGGAATCCAGTTAGGCATCTTCGGCCTCTCTCAACAATGTTCGTATTAGGATTTCACTTGGCCTCTTTGTTTCCTCTATCCATTTGTTTACAAATTCAGTCACGGTCTGGAACATCTCGTATGTGGCGTAGTGGAAGCCACCGACACATATTGATTGTTAAGAGGGGGGGGGGGGGAGGGGTAATTTGATTGTTAAAATCGGCACTTCGAGTTTTAGTTACATAGTGGGACACAGACATTTTGTAAAGGCTGAGGTGGGGAATGGCACAAAAAAGTTTGGGAAACCCTGTCTTTCACAATTTGAGAATTAAAGCAAACGACCGATAAATATCATGATATCTCAGGAACTGAAAAACTCTGGCTATTGCAAACATGACAGATGTTTAGGCATCAGATACATTACGATTTATACACCCTTAACGTGAGGTCATGACAATATGGGCTATTTCTACACAAAGTAAGACAAGGCAGAAATAATACGACAAATGAAAAACATGGTAACCAAATTTTCGATGGCGAAACACCAATACAAAGGGTGGAATGATAACTATAAGAATAGTGTGTGTGTGTGTGTGTGTGGTGGGGAGAGGGGGGGGGGGGGGCGAGAACTCATTACAGCGAAATATGAAATAGCATTATTGGTTTCATGAGATATATTAATCAAAAATAGATAAACAGCAAATATCCTTTAGAGTAGGAATTGAGAATATTAAACATGTGTAAATTTAGGCGGCGTCTGTGGCTTAGGGGTTGCGAACGCGCTTTGTAATGCCGGGGTGCCGGGTTCGATCCCAACTGCAGGCCTTGCGCCTTGCT